TTATATTCAAAATAATCACAATCTTACAAGAATTCCAGCAATGTAAAATATAATCTGGCCGGGTAATTTGTATGACTCTTATGAGCTAAAACAAATATCTTCAGAAAATAAACAAATTATACTTGACCCAGACACTATCTGTCAATGAAAATACCCCACCTCCGCTTCCCCCCTCTTCCCATGGTCGCTGGGTCCCTCCCTCCCTACTCCCCACCTTCCCTTCTTACCAGAGAAATGCTTGGGTGAAAACATTAGGCTTACATTTTTAGTAATAAATAATACCTCAGACTAAAGTTAGGATAATATAATTGACATTGCTGGATTCCTTGCAAGACTAGGAATATTTTGAATATAAACGTCATATATTTTGCACAAAAGATAAAATTTTGGCTCTGTAATCAAAATTCTTACATTAGATCTAAAATTTGTATGTCTAATACAAATTCCATGCTGTTTATATTCAAAATAATCACAATCTTACAAGAATTCCAGCAATGTAAATTATATTCTGGCCGGGTAATTTGTATGACTTTTATGAGCTAAAACAAATATCTTCAGTAAATAAACAAATTATACTTCACCCGAGTAAATGAGTAAATTCACCACGTAAATCGGGCATCCCGGTTCTGGCAAGGTACCGCGTAAATGACCAAACGCGTAAACGAGAGCCACGTAAACCGAGGTGTTACTGTATATGATTTCTATATTCAAATTATTCGTTGTCTTGCAAGGATTCCAGCAATGCAAATTATATTCTCATAACTTTAGTCTATGATATTTTATAATATAAAAACTTTAAGCCTAAAACCACTTTCAATCTTGCCGGAAGTGGAGGGGGAGTTGATATATTGACAGCTGGCCCAGCCGCTGGTCAAGGTTACCTAATGGTATTTATTTATTTGTCATATAGGGGGAGTTTATGTTTTCTCTTATAAAATGTCACTGAATTGACTGAAGAGAATATAATTAACATTGCTGGAATTCTTGTAAGACAGAGATTAATCTGAATATATATGTGTGCAAAATATATATCTATATTAAAATTATTAAAATTATTTGCTGTCTTGCAAAGATTCCAGCAATGCAATTTATATTCTGTTAACTTCAGCCTGTGACATTTTATATCAAGTTAAGTCACCTTTATTGGCCTCCAGAATCTAACCCTATTTTCCCCATTGATTACATGTAATTATATATAGCGAACATCCTTTGACCCAATCTTTCGATATATCCTGATCCTACCTTACACCTATGTGTTTTTACCCCTGTTTGGTTGGGGGAGAATTCAGACTGGGCCTTATAACGTTTTAGTTGGGCCATATATCTTGTTTATTAATTTGCGAAGTTTGCATTGGACTGCCTCTTTCTCCACGTGGTTCAATACTTAGGGTTGCTCTGCCAGTCAGTGAGAGCAACATGTTTACTATTGACGAGTACTTCAATTTCCGGGTCATTTTCACCAAAACAATTCCGGTGTTTTCTTTTGATCAGGCTGAGTGTCTCATTGCAGGTTTTTGGGATGACAGCTTTCATGGGACCCCATTCAGCACTGGGATTTGGGTTATTTGTTGATGGGTTGTTTCTCAGCCCATCATTGAGCTGCTCTCTGAAGGCTTGTGCTACAGCTGGATCCTCCAGTCCCTAGGTGTTAAAGCCTCTTCTCGAGGCTTTTTGCCTTCGCCGTTTTGGGGCGACGTGAAGGGAGAGTTTGGCTCTAACGAGCCGATGACCTGTATCACAGTGGTCTGAGCCACGCATGACTTGGGTGATGAGGACATCTCGGCCATTTCTTTCTCTGACAATGAGATGCCAATGTTTGGATCGTTGGTGTTGCCAAGAACCCTTGAACTTGTAGGCCTGCCGAAATAAGGTGTTGATGATAGTGAGGTTGTGTTCAGCATATTTTCTGAGGAGAAGTTGGCTATTGGGATTACACTTGCCTAGTCTTTCTCCCTATGGTTCCCTGCCAAATGTTAGCATCTCTGCCAACCCTGGCATTGAAGTCACCTAGGAGCACAATCTTATCTTCTCTGGGGATAGAGGTTTAGCACTCTGCTAACATCGGCATAAAAGGACTCCTTGATGTCATCCTCTGCATCCAGTGTTGGGGCCTATGCACTGATGAAGAAGGCATGACGTGAGTGTTTCAGTGCGACTCAGAGCGTCATGAGGTGCTCGTTGCTCCCAACAGGTATTTCAGTTACCCTAATGGCTGATATGTCGATGTTATATCTAGACAACTCTTTTGCCATAAGGGCGATTGTTCTTTCAGGATGCTCATTTGTGCTAGTATTCAGAAGAGTCCTGATATTCACTTTGATCTGTGATTTTGATTATGTTTTGACCACATAAGGATGACCTTAGTGGGTGCACTTGCCCAGTCAGGTTGGTTCTTTAGGCAGGCTATGTTTAGGGCACCTCTTCTAGCTCCCTCCCCATGTGGGTTGAGCATAGTGGTTCCTGGGAAGGGCTGCTGAGTCATACAGACAGGACCGATTGCACTGCTGCCTAGATCCCAGTGCATAAATGACCATCTTATACAGTGGTCCCTTGGTTAACGAACGGTTCGATTACCGAAATTTCAGTTAACGAATTACCTCCCATAAGGATCTTCAATTAGGTTAACGAACAAAACTTTGATTAACGAAATCCTTATGAACATCATGTTTTGTTGTGAGCATTAGTTGATCAGCTGATGGGCTAGTCTGCCAATTCAGTAATCTGCTTTATGTTTACATTCGTTTCCAGTGGAGTAAATATCAAGAAAGTTGTGCTCTTTAATATTTTTGCATATTTTATATTAAAATTATTCGTCATTTTAACATTTATTTAACATATTGATAATTATAATTATCAATATGTTATAATATATGCAGTACAGGGAAGTAGTTTTTTGTGCGCCCATCAGCCGCTTGACTCAGCCACCAGGCCTCAGTTTGGCTTTGTTGACAGTGGAGCGAACATCTATTTTGTTGGTGTCTTGAATATTTTTCCATTTTTACATTGAAATTATTGGTCATTCTGAATTTAGTTAACATATTAATAATATATAGCGCATTGCAGTGTTGATTTAAATAAAATAATCTCGAATTACTCCCAGTGAACTTAAAATTTTATTGGTGAAATGACAGCATCAAACATGGGTCCCCTGAAAGGTGATTTCTCCTCCATTCCCACTTCCTTCTCTTCTCCCTTCTCTTCCACCCTCACTTCTAATTCCCATCATCATCATCAACCAGGAACCTTCTACATACTGTACACACCTCAAAGTAAGTGTACTTTGCTGCATTTTTTTTAACTTTGTATGTACTTTTCGGTGAGCTGGAACCAATTACCCAATGTCCCATTGAAACAAGGGATTCGGTTAAAGAAATTTTTGGTTAACAAACGACCCTCTGGAACAAATTGTGTTCGTTAACCGAGGGACCACTGTATATGCTGCCTATGTGCAGAGTTGTAACTAGAAACTCCTGGTAGTTATCTTAGCCAGTAACCATCGCCACTCGTCTGTCACCATAGGACTTTTGGGGGGATAGAAGTTTGATGATGATGAGAAGCATGATGATCTGAATGATGGCTGCGCATGAGTTGATTTATGTGTTGAGGCAGGAGCGCAGGCAGCAACCACACATATTGGCTCTCCCCTTTTCTGATCCAGTGGTGCAAGTAGTTGCAATGATTGTGCAAGTACAGGTACAGTGAGTTCTGCTATAATACGTGTTTTGATAACGCGAATTTGTATGATTTATGAATTAGGAACGATATTTGTATAACGCGAACGCTTGTTTGCTATAACGCGATTTTTGCTTACTATTTCTCCAATTTTGTGCGGTGTATGCTATAACGAATCTTATTGGTTCTAGAACCTTGTTAGTTATAGCATTCGTTCGTTATAGGTTAATCCGTTCCAGGCCCCCAAATACAACCACTTAACACTGAAAAATATAATATAAAATTTAAAAATTGTAAAAAGTGCATAAATATGCATCTAAACCCCTGAAATAAAGAATATCATTAATATTTGTAATAAAAACAATAAATTAGAAAAAAAAAAATTAAATAATGTTCGATTGTAGGGTTTTCGTTAGTTATAGCATTCTCAATTTTATAGGTAAAACCGTTAGTTATAGGAATATTCAGAGTAGGATCCGTTAGTTATAGCACCTTGCAGTATTATGTGAATATAGTAAAGAAGAATATCAACAAGCGTTCTGGTGATAGAATTCGATGATCGTAAAAAAGGATATAACACTGGAAGAAAGCTCGAGTTTTTATCAACCTCAAAATCACCCTTCTCCCCATCAAGTAAAGTGTTACATTTACTGTATGATTTCATTATTAGATATGAATGTAACATTTATTTAGACTGTGCTATCCTTTGTGTTAGGAACTACTAAATTTTTTCGATTTCGGAGTAATCTGCACCTAACCCTATTTTCTCCAAAAGCCCTGTTATTTCTATTCTGGCGATTTTCTATAACGATATTTTACAAGAACACAATTATCGGCGTTATAGCAGAACCTGTACTCCGTTCTACGACCGACTCGACTTCGTCCACCGCACTACGACCTGCCTCAGTCGTTAAAATGTGGTCAAATTATGTATTTTTGAGTCCCAAAATACGAACAAAATTTTCATCTGTAATTCACTTTAAAATGGCTGGCAAGCTTAAAAATTAGTGTTTTGTGGTGCTGAGAGAGAAAAAAGTGACCCAAATTTTCGATTTTCTGTGTTATTTAAGTATTTCCGACTTACGACCATTTTGACTTACGACCTGGATGTCGGTCCCTAACTCCGTCAGAAGTCGGGGAGTACCTGTAGTCGCAATGACTGGAGAGAGAGAGAGTTGCAATGGATTGACACACATGCATACATACTATTTTACATGACAAATAATGTTTCCTCTATGCTATGTGCTTGCACAGCCATGCAACAGTTCTTCAAGTGACGTTAAAAATTATAAGGAATCTTGATGACAGTATACCAATTTTTAATTTACCTGCCAGCCAACTGTCTCTGTTCAGGAACTGTATCTGGTAGCTCCACCTGTGCCCTCTTCAGTACTCGAACTTGAACATCTTTACCCTTACTAAGAGTGGTGAGGGCTTGATCATAATTACCAGCTTGTTCATGTACCTTGAGAAAAAAAAAATTGAACAAATGCAAATGTAAGAAAACACCTTGATATCAATGCATCACAAAATTTCGGTTTTAATTTTGTATGTAACAAATAATTATTCACATAAATGCCATTCCTTGCAAGCAATAAGTTTTTCAATTTACGTGACCACTACAAAAGTCATATGAGATCACTCAAATGCCATCAGGCCATTTTTGTTCTGTGGCTCATTAATCCCACAGGAATATATTTTTTTTTTACATGCAGTTTATATATACCACTGGCTTTGTTATTGTTTTTGGCCTTAATATAAACAGAAAAAAAGAAGAGAATAAGACAAATTTTCTCTCTCCAAATATATGTATAAAATAATTATTTGTGTTCCCAACATCATATCTAGGATATATTCTCACAAACCATCAAAGGTAGAGTATATTATTAAAACTACAAAAGCAAGAATTTTAAACTTTTCAATGGTGTCTATGGAATTTTGATATGACTAATTGTGTGTGTGTGTGTGTGTGATGCACAGCCATCACCCAGCTCATCATACTCCTCATCATCACAAACCCTATACAGGTTGACAACCCTTTATCCGAAATTCCGAAAACGCAAAAGCTCTGAAAACCGAAAGTCTTTTTGTGGGGCCATTTTTTTTTTTTTTTACAAGGATTAGCCCACCCGGGCATAGATCACTGACCCACATCAGGGCCTGACAGGCGAAAATGTAATAGTAATAATAATTATAAAAATAATAATTACTCAGTAAATAAAATTTTTAATAAAAATACACCAATATAAAATAATAATGATATGTAATAATAATAATAATACAGTTAACCCTCACTTTACGCGGTCCCACATTCCGGCGTTTCCCATTCTGTGATTGCCTTGCCAGAACCCTAACGTGCTCACATTACATGCATGAACCCCATTCTGTGAGTATCAAAGCCTTGGCATATTTTTAGATTAGCCCCACCCGCCACCCGCCGCCTGCCTGTGCTCTCGCCTCTCCCTCCTCCTCCCTCCGCTTGGGCAAGCTTGGCAGCAGTAAGGTGCGCAGTGTGTGTGTCTTTGTCACGTTATCACTGGCGTCATATAGCGGCTCCGGACTGTGATTGGCCATGCATCCTACCCCCCTCTGCTGCTAGCTGTAATTGGCCATGCATCCCTACCCCCTCTGCTGCTAGCTGTAATTGGCCGCCATCCCTACCCCCTCTGCTGCTAGCTGTAATTGGCTTAAAGTATTACCAGCGTGTCACCGGGAGAGGGAGGGAGGAAAAGCGATGCTTGACCCTGCCCTTGACAGTTTCATCCCTCAAGGCACGTGTGTCGATGCATCCATTGTTCAGTAAAATGGCTTCCACGGACCACCACCACCCCAGAAACCTTTCCTTACCTGGACCCCAGCGGCGCTAAGCCGAAGAGACACGGCGTTCGTAAGCTACGGGTGAGTATGCCATCATCCAAGAGTTGGAGAAAGAACCGAGCAGGTTGATTTAGCGCGCCCGGCATAATGATGTGAATGAATCTCTGATTCAAACAATAAGGATGCAGCCAGATAAAGAGGCACGGCAAAGATCCTGAAGTCTATAGGTGCTTCTATGATCAAGCTGTTTACTACAACCAGGTGCTTCTCAAGACAGAAAAATTAGCAGGTGCTTGGTCGTCAGGTGCAAGAACATGGCGGTCGACCGCGGCTCTATTGGAGACTACATGCGTGAACTGTACATGCGCAGTGGCAACACGAAGATGGGAATTACAGAGCCAAACCTTTAATGCTGCTTCCTCTGGGTGGTTACAGGGTTTAAGATTAGGAACAAGATCGCAATATAAACATTGGTGGTGAAAAGCGAAGTGCTGACCCGTGCTGCGGCTGAGGAATTTCCTCCGTTTTTCGCATTGAGATTATGGAGGAAAAGGACAGTACAGTGGCCGACCAGGTGTTTAACATGGACAGATCTGGTCTTTCTGGAAAAAGCTACCTTCAAGTCATTACGTTGTAAGAATGCCAGTAGAGATTCGAGGGCGGAGGTACAGAAGGAGCGCATCACCCGTCCTGTTTACCACCAATGCCTCCGGTACCTGTAAGCTCAAGTTATGGGTGATCCACACAGCACGCAAAGCGCACAAAACCCTATAAAACCATGGACCTGACCAAGCTAAATGTCCACTGGCTGACACTTGCGTAAGCGTGGATGTTCTCTACACTGTCCCTCTCCTGGTTTTGATGACTGTTTTGTTCGATGTAAAGAAATTCTGTGAACAGAGATGTGCCATTCAAGATTTTGTTGCTTGCTGCTGGACAACGCGCAGGACACTCGCCCTACTATTGGTCGTCACCCCTAGCGTAAAAGTGGTCTTCCCTTCCTCCCAACCTCGTCTATATTACAGCCCATGGACCAGGAGTTAATCTGTAATGTAAAAAGCTGCATTCTCAAAAAAATTCAAACTCCTGAGCGACTACACCAACACCAGGGAAGATTTAAACGTGGCAGGTGACACCACCACCCGTGTAAGAAGCGAAGAAGATGAGGATCAACTTAGTTGGCACAGCAAAAATACTGTTCAAATAATTCTGGAGAGTATTTAACATCAAAGAAGCTGTGGACTTCTTGGTGGAGTCATGAATCCAGCTGTCTGTGCCACAATTAAGTCACGCGCCAGAGCATGTGTTGCATGAATACCAGGTGAGAGGAGGAGTCAATCTGTGACGCTGGTGAGGTTCAGACTTTATTGCAGTAGCAGTGGACCTTGCCAGAAGCTGCGCAGACTGTTACAGTTCAGGCTTCTCCGAGACCACCAGCGACGACATCCTGGAAGTGATCAGAGATCCTGGAAGTGACTGCGGCGAGATGTTGGAAGAAGATCCGTCAGTGAAGAAGGAGGAAAAGAAGGTCGCGTTATTCTCGAAGAACACAGTTTAACTCATAGTGATAAGGGTGCCATGGAGTGTGCAGAAAATGAAGTCCTTCACCGCGACAATGGCGATGGCCGCTGAAGTCTTCCATACCCGGCTGGTGCAGGCTGTGGAGCCGTACATCCGCGATTATCCGACAACATAAACACCAGCCGTTAAAAAGCAACGAGTTCTTTGCCCATAACCCACCACAGCCAGCCCAAGCCAGTGATAAGTGACAGTGAAGATGACTTTGAGGATTTGTCAGGGAAGCCCTGACAGCATATGGTGACAGTGTTGGTGATTCACCTGGTAATAATTGATTCACCCTGAAGACGGTAATCTGCCCTCTGCCTCAGACCAACCTCCATCCGTATGCCGTATCTCTTCTTTCGTAAGTGTTCCCACCTAACTTTAGTTTTCTAACCTAACCTTTATTTTTCCTATATTAGCAACTATTTTCCTAACCTAACCTCTTCTATATTACTTGTTTTTTCATACCATCATAAAGTTAGATAAAATTTTTACTACAACATAGTTGTGTGTCGTCAAAAGTGGAGTTTGAAATTAGGCCCGGACTCTATTTCAATTAATCCCATATATTTATGTTATTCACTTTACACGTTCCTCACTTTCCACGGGACCCTGCGGGTTACATTAACCGCGTAAAGTGAGGGTTAACTATAATAAATAATAATAAATAATAATAAAATTAATAATAATAACAATAATACTGTAATAATAAAATAATAATAATAATAAATAAATAAATACAAGAAAGAAAAAAAGATCAAAAGTGAGAAACACAACCTAGTCCTATGAATTATTATTAGTATTATAATTTTTATTATATTTTCGCCCCCCAGGCCCTGATGTGGGTCAGTGATCTATGCCTAGGTGAGCTAATACACATTAAAAAAATAACCATTCTGAAAACTGAAAAATCCGAAATCCCCCTGGCCCCAAGGATTTCGGATAAGGGATTGTCAACGTATACCACCAAAAGACCTATGGAGATGGACAAGTGGTGACGGGAACAGGCAGAGATGACTGCCAGGAGTTTCTAGTTACAACTCTGCACACATATAAGATGGTCATTTATGAACTGGGATCTAGGCAGCAGGGCAATCCGCTCCGTTTGTACGACTCAGCATCCGTTACCAGGAATCCCTATGCTCACCCCACATGGGAAGGGAGTTAAAAAAGGTGCCCTAAACATAGCCTGCCTAAACAACCAACCTGATTGGGCAAGTGCACCCAGTAAGGTCATCCTTATGCAGTCGAAAACACAATCATAATCACAGTTCCAAACAAAAACAAACGAGGCAACCTCTTATGATCGCTGCATGGAATGTCAGGATCATTCTGGACACTGGCAGAAATGAACATCCTGAAAGAAGAACTGCCTTTGTTGCAAAAAAAAACTGTCTAGGTATAACATCAACATAGCAGCCAATAGTGAGTCCCGGCTCCCAGATGAAGGTCGACTCACAGAACGGGGGTCTGGCTATACTATACCATCTTCTGGAAGGGTAAGCCTGCTGTGGAGAGAAACCGCATTTATGGAGTTGGATTTGCCATCCACCAACACATCCTACATAGGCTAACTGAAATGCCTGTTGGGATCATCAAGAGCCTCCTGATGCTCGAAGTCCCACTGAATCACTCACGTTATGCCTTCTTCATCAGTGCATTTGCCCTAACACTGATGAGAAGAGAATGACATCAAGGAGGCCTTTTATGCCTACCTTGACAGAGTACTAACCTCTATCCCTAGAGAAGATAAGGTTATGCTACTTGGTAACTTCAATGCCAGAGTTGCAAAGATGCTGGCATTTGGCAGGGAAACATAGGGAAAAATGGACTAGGTAAGTGTAAGCCTAACAGCCTACCCCTACTCAGCAAGTGTGCTGCACACAACCTCAATATCATTAAGGTATAGGCAGGCTGACAAGCTCAAGGTTCATGGCAACACCCACGATCCAAACACTGGCATCTCATTGACTACATCATTGTCAGAGAAAGAGATCACCAAGATCTCTTCATCACCTGAGCTATGTGTGGCTCAGACCACTGCAACGTTGATCATCAGCTCATCAAGGGCCAAGCTCTCACTTT